CTCGACAGAGAAAATCGCCGAGGAAGTCAAAACAATGTTGGCGACAGGAATCATCAAGATGAGCACATCAGAATACAGTTCACGTTTTCCTATCGTCGTGGAAAGACCTCAAGCCTAGATTTTGGGTAGATTACCGAAGTCTCAACTCCGTAACCAAACACGACAGCTCCAACCTGCCACACATCCGGGAAACATCCTAGACACGGGGACCGCAAGGGTTTTCTCGGTGGTCTACATCTACTTCAAATCCTGCTACTGGCAAGTGCGTTTGAAGGATGAGTCAAGACCGCTGACAGTCGTTTCAACTCCCGATGGCGCCTCCTATCAGTTAAGAGGCTAAAGAAATGCCCCAAAAATTAATGACACAGGTCCTTGCGGGATTACTAAGGTAGTTCGCATTAGTCTATCTAGACGACATCGTTATCCGTTCCGACAATTTGGAAGACCACATCCGCCACATTTATGCAATCAAGGCCGACTTATGATAAGAGCCTCGAAAATGTACGACGACGTCATGCAAACTTACCATGACGCAGCCACCGCCGAAGAAAAGACCCGCGCCGTCCTTACCCAATATCTCTAGCTGAAGATAGGCAACCCCGTGCGAGATTACGTCCTAAGATGTTAGGTGTGCACAGCACAAAACGCGGGTCGATACACGAAGCCACCTTCCGCCTTCCGGAATGGTTCCTTTACGTCGAATCAACAATGGGGAACCGAATTCATCCTGGTGTGGTAACAGATGTCTACAGTATGTCGATGTTTCACCACCACCGACGCTGTGGTAAATTTACTGGAGCGAGAAATTTTTGGACGATACGGGTTCCTTGGAGTCATATCATATCTAACAATGGGCTCCAGTTCCTCTCTGTCACTTAGGACCGCGCAAAGACACGGGGGATGTTAACACCGCACAACCACCATATGTCACCCTCAGGCCAACCCGGAGGAGAGAAGGAACCAGGAAATCAAGAGAGACTTCCAAATTCACCTTCAGGGAAAGGATCCAAAAACGTGGGACGCGTGCTACGAACACGAAGGGAAGCCGCTCCTGGAATGCGGTGACCAGGAAAGTCACATGCGAAACTAATCCAATCCAGGAAAGTGGAGGGCCGTATCAAAAAATTTAAACTTTATTGATACGACTCCCCAATTTCCTGGATTCGTCAGATTCATGTTCCTCTTACGTCTCATTTTGTACGCTCAAAACCTTGCTTCAATCATGTCATTATCCCATGTTTAATTTGCCCCTCTCGTTGGTGCTGGATTAGTGGAGCTCTTTCTGTGGAGACGGCTTTTAGTAATGATCGTTTCCTCTGGCAGGATATCAATCTTGAAGAACAAGGTTTAAAAAAGAGAAAGAGTGGAACTAAGTTGTGCAATTGGGGAATGGAGGAGTTGGAGCAACAAATTATAATAAAAACAGAGAAAAAGATACGTGTGTTGAAGACGAGGCAACATAACATATTGAAAACTTAATTAACAGGAGGATTACAAGGAGAATTAGAAAAACAAAAAGATGAAATAGAAATGGAAATATCCAAGCGAGTGACAGAAGCAAAACAAGTTATGTAAATGTTAGATCCAAAAATTAGGGGACGCAGAAACGAGAGCCTGAAACGTAACAACGAACAGTAGGGTAAGAGTGAAGGAAAAGTGAAGATTAGGAAAAACTTCTAGAATAGCAGAAGCAATTGAAGGCCATTGTCGAAACGAAAACCCAAAGTCTAACAAAATTGCAAAAAAAATCAGTGACAATTTTCTGAAGAAGAGAAACATAAAGTCGATGAGAAGAAAAACAGATCATAATCTAATTATATTCTACAAACCTAATAATCCTAGAGCCGAATAGTCCTGGAGTTGAGTCACAGAGGTGAGTTATCCCAGAGCCGAGTTATCCTAGAGTCGAGCACTCTTTCAGCCGAGTAATCTCGGAGCGGAATAGTCCTGGAACCGAATTATCTCGAAGCCGAGTAGCCCGGTGCCGACTATTACGGACCGGGACATTGACTGAAAGGCGGTAGGAAGTTTTCCGCGTCTGCTAGTTCGTCAATAAAATTTACCTTTGAAAAAGAAAAAGAATGGATCACGTTAGATATAGATGTTTCCCGTAAGGATACTAGCACCAAAGTATCATGATCTATGCTAGCACCACGGTGGCTAGCACTAAGAAATTCATAAAATCATAACTAATGATTTGAACCGCCGATACAGGATAAACATGCTTCATACAACTGTTTCGTTTCGTTAATTAATTTTACACTTTCACATTAAAATTATATGAAACAATTGAGCACCATCACACAAATCGCTATGTAAAACGGTGTTTCCTAAGAATTAATTTATGAATTAATTATGCAGTTAATTAGGAAACATAGATTAAAAAAGTCGATTAAAAAGTAACAGCGTTAGGGGATTGTACTAGTAAATTAGATAAGAAATATGTTAAATTACCCAATTATCCTTCATGCACTGGGTTATCTCAAATCTTTTCCAAATTAAATTTACAACCTATTACAATTTCAGATGATAGTAGGCATACAAAAAATTGTAGGTAATCCATATGACCCCGGAAGGATAAATCGTAAATGTACAAAGTGCCTTGTTAAAGGCTGTAATCAAGTATATCACTTCAAAAGTGATGTTGTGTAAAATCTAGCGTTATCCGCACATATGGTTGGAAATAATCATACAGTATATGATATGTTCCTAGTTAAGCAAATAAGCAGTAAAAGTGAGTTAAACTGTAAAAATAATCGCTTCCTAATAAAGGAGGTAAACTTTCACTTTCACTTGTAATTAGTTTAAAGGTTTGCTGATGATGACAGTTTTGCTGTGGAAACACGTTCGATTGTTTATTATATTATTATTGTGATTTATAGCGTTTCAGGTGTCCACATTTACTAACTTGCATTTTTCTACCAATGGAGCTCTAAAGAGACGTTTCGTTCATACAATTACATTGTTTGTCTCACTTCTCGACCCTCAGATTCCATAAAGGATATTTTAAATTCTAAACTTTGGTTTTAAATCCATTTATTTTACTTCTCGAATTCAGTCGCAATCAAAATTGACAAATAGGGCATTCAATTCCGCATTAAATGAGACCCGACGCACATTTTTTGGACCCCCCGTTCGTATACGAGGCTCATCGAACTATGAAGAAAAGGGGAAAAAATAGGTACACGTTTTATAGACGTCGACCTTTAACTGTCGCCGGGCCCCTCGGCCACAGAATAAGGAAAATTTAGAGTACTATTTATTATGTGACTCGGCTCCTCAAAGTATGTAATTTCCCTCAGCCCATATAAGGCAGCCTTGGTCAGCATGCGTTGCGTCAACTACATCTGGTTGGAGGAGTTAGTGCAAAAGTTTCCCTTACAGTAATCATGAAACCATTGAGCACTTAACCCTAGCCTTCCGACATCCACAACAACCTGCACCCCCTCGTTGCAGAAAATTGTGGAAGGAAGAGGCTGTTGAGTTAGTTCCTTGGAGATAGAAACGGGGTCAAGACCAAACTTTGAAACCTACCATCACCAGAGGAGTGGACTCTTATGGTGTCCTAACCACAATGTAGTTGTGGGTAAGTTCTCAACCAATGTTTGCGGGATGCTTCGGATGTTGGTGGTAGGGATGTCAAGTTGAATTTGGAGAGGGCTCAATAAAACAGGTCAAATCTCAATGTATCTAAAGTATTTTCTGCTTAAGTCATGGTCGGCAGTTGTAGTGCATTTTTAGGTAGTCAACGTATTTGGTGACGTATAATTGGAATGTTTCACCACTCTTCTACACAGCTCGGTGGAGAAAAAATCCACCATTGATGACAAAAGCTGATCCTTCCAAGTTTACCCTATGCAGTGGTGTAAAAAGGTCATATAACACTGAGTTGTCTGTGAGGTGTCTTCCTCATTTCGACTTCATCGAACAGTGAAAGAGAATAGGATACCAGCTGATAATGAAATAATAAGGTTCAAAATATCTCGATGCGACCTGCATTCTCAAAATTTGTTTCTTTAATTAATTAACTAATGGCTTTTCATTTTTTTGGTAATAACTGGTGCTAACTTCTAGTATAGGTACCTACTCCTGAAACTCTGGAGGAGTAACTTGTATAATTAAGACATGGGATACACAATTAAAATGGAATTCATTTGAATGGGAGGTTTTGGTGTCTATGGATGAAATGTGATTCACAGTAACGAACTATATAATCTGTAAATTAAAAGCCATGGTTTAATCAAATCTGTGCTTATATGGCAAATGAATAGAAAAAAGCAGCATTTCGATGACACGTAGTTTATTGTAGGTATTAATTTATACAGATACAATTATTAATAGTTCCTGTATATAATACTTCTAACGGTATATCGTGCACGTACGATTACAAAAAAACATATACACTAAATAAAATAAACCTACAACAAACCCACACGTCTTTAATTCAAATTTTAAATTACATCATTTTTTTCTAAGTGCAAAGGAACCTTTAAATTAAATACACTTCAATTAGACCATTAATCTTAAATCGATTCGTTTTCGAATGGAATGCATATCGATATTTAATATTCTAAAAGGAGCTATAATTTATATTTGTAATTTGAAAAAAATTATTAGTTGCCCTGTATAATTTAGCTATGTATTTCATTTACTAATTTCGATTCGTTCACCGGAAAAAAATGATAATACAAATAGTAGACGAAAACTTAATTAATTAAGGTGTAACTGAAGAGTTTTAACATTGACGGCTTTATTTAACCCGCGCGTTTAAAATAAAAACTTGAAAGATTATGTTTATTCATGATTGATCGACGCTTAAGCTTCGCGTACCTTTGAACTCGGCCGTGATGATCTGTGGCATAATTTTAATCACACCTCTCCTAAATTGAAAATAAAGAAGCGATTAATTATGAAAATGGTTTTACGAAGTAATTAAATATTTGAAATCTAACCACAGTGAACGTTCCAGTTTAGCTTGGAGGAAAAGTGAACTAACTTACCTTTGACGATATCAGCGTCAAAGTCGGAGACGATTCCTGCAAATAAAAATTCAATTAATATCGAAAAATGCTTAGGGCGTAACCGTGCAAAACCATTTTTCATAATGACGAAATTAGCGAGACTAAAGACCAGGTAATTTTGTCTTTGCGTTTTCGATAACATACTGACAATATGAGTAGACATAATGTGATGTATTATTAATTATTAAGTCGTGTACTGTTCGCTTCGTTGAATAAGCAAACTTCATTATGCAAATATTTGAAAGTTCTCAAGTGAACCTCCATTATTATTTTGGTAGTACAAAAGGTATCTTTTCTAAAATTTATTAGCTGGGGTTGTGTATCAAACTTTAGGGATACAAAATTTAACCTTTTGCGTATGACTTATTTATGTGGGGTGTCTAATGTCCAAAATGGACTCAATCAAATTTAGGGCACCCTAAGTGTTACTTAGAGTTGTTACAACATCACAAACTTTTTATTGTTATTTAGAACAGTTGGTTGGGGTGTCTTTTTGTGCCCAAATAAGTTTCAACCACCTATTGCCTATTGTAACAAGAATTTAATCTCCTTATCGTACACAGATTGATATTTTTTTCTTTCCTTCACAGACAACCATAAGGAGGACGTCAAAAATTTTAAGCTCATATATGCTGCATCGGACTGAGAAAGACCAGACATTCCTACTACCATGATTTTTAGCGAAGTTAGTGCATCAGGGAAAGTCGGTTTTCGCCGAGTCCACCACCGAATCGGCAGCCTTCGCCCCACACACGAAACGGTAAACCGTTCGGCTTTTTTGTATGTGTCTGGCATTCTTTGGTTTTTTATTATCACGGCCTACCCCTGTTTATAAACACGTAATTAATTAATTTGTGAATGTGTGAATATTTTGTGAAAAATATTGAATAACCTTTTGGTACAGGACACCCCTTATAAAAATTGAAGAGCACACAAGAAGACTACCGTATAGAGAAATTAAATAGTGGTAGTTCCATTTGAAAGAAATAAGTAAAAATAATCATGGCACTTTGAAGTATGAAAATTTTTTTGTGAACATCCTGTATCACTAAATTCAACTTTTTCATTACCAAAGTGTTGCATTTTATTCAGGTTCACATTATTCATCAAACGTATTTCTTAACTTTAAAATCAAAGTCGCTACGATTTACCAAAGTGTGGGGGCTCATAGAGAAGATTTGATATCGTAAGCATACGGCGACCTGAAAAAGGCATTGGTTGGAAAAAATTATGTTATTTGTGGAGGGACCACGGAATAGGTGTGAATTAGAAAAAAAGGGTAGGAATTAGGTTGTTGGTAGGTGGTCGGAGTAATGTGCGTTAAGTCACGATAGCGTTCGCGTAAAGCCGACAAGAAACTCAGGTTAAGCCGCGGAGCAATTCGCGTCGTGAATCGTGAGGAAATTGACGTGAATCGGCCAGAAATAAAATTAAGTCGGTCACCGGTAGTTGCACACAGGGTTTATTTTATATACAGGGTGTTCTTTAAAGACATACTAATATTTAAGGCGATGATTCTTGGATCCATTTTGAAAAAAAAACTTCCTATGAACGAATGTCCTAAACGTTTTAATTATTGAGATTAAAAAAAATAGAGAAATAGAGATAATTGTAGGCATCTTTACGAAATTTGGTACATGTCTTCTACGTATCAAGATGCATTTTCTGATGTGCAAAATCTTTTGTTTCCTATACCAATGGCGTCCGTACGGATTTTGCATTGAATATTTTTGAAGAAAAAATACTACGCCACTGATTTCTCTTAAAATAAGAATTATTTTTTAAATCCTCATTTATTTTTGAGCAAATTTGATCTTCTGGTTTTTCTTTGTTCGACGCATGGTTTTCGCTTATGCTAGGAAATTAATCCTGAAGTAAAAAGAGTTTTATTATTTTAATCGTCTTCTTTAATTCTACTTAAACACTCACTCTAAACGGCGTAATAAAAATCTCGTATAGCAACTAACTTTTTTTCTAAAATGTTGTAACTGGCAAAACTACTTGTCTTGCAACAAATACGCTCAAATACGGCACTACCATACATTAAAACAATAAGCGGTTATGTTTCAACGTCCACCGAAACAAAAACAATGAACGTCCGTTTCCTCTATTTAAAAACCTTCTCTCTTTCAATTGCGTCCTTCCTTATTATCATATTTAATGCGTCGACGAAGGATAAACTGCGCGCCTGTGTCTTCTTGTCGGTGAAACTTGAAACTAATTGGCTTAAGCAGCGATAACAAAATTTCTTATCGCAACGACCAGATTTAAATGAGATAACTAGAGTCCCTAATCTTTCTAAATGATTAATAAAATAAATACTTCGTGATTGTATAAAAAAATTAAGCAACAAATAATCCTAAAACAAAATCACGTTGACTTCAAATTCAAATACCATGATCGAAATTGTGTTCAATTAAATGTTTAAAGAAAATTACCGAGCGACCCAACATTATTTTGGGTGCAAACAAAACGTCCGTATGACATATTTTGCCTTTTTGGTTCTGATTTTGTAAGTTAGTGCCCGCTACACTATCATAATTTCTACCGAAAAATCACTAATTCACGTCAGTGAGAAACGCATCAGGCATGCCTGCAGAATGTTGAGCAGTGGAAATATGAATCGCTGCAGCACATTCGGAGCAATTCGAGAGAGATTCTTTTTGTACCATAAATGATCATGAGGATCTAGGAAACCATAGAAGGTACGACGATGGCTAAATTCGGGAGAAGTTCCGCAATTAAACGGTTATTATCACGTAGTAAAGAAAACCATAAAATTTCGATTATTTCCGAAGATATGACAGAAAAACTACTTATCATGCAAATATTTCAAGAAGTTTAGTTTTTTAGAGTGTATATTTGCCCGTTCCGATTTTTGGATTTTTTTAAACCTCTTTTTTCTTTGATGTTATGCTCTGCTATTTGACGTAGCGATCGATACATGTCACTTACGTCGTACCGTGCCGATATGTTCACAGTTTTACATTCTGCACGCTGAGTTTCCGTCATCCTATATCAATCAATATCGAGCGTACGAAGTTGAGGGGAAAATCTTGTCTATTATAAAAAATGACGAACTGCACCTTCAACAAAACAATTAGCACTGACTGCCCGAGAATTTTGCGTAAATGTACACGCTCTACAACCGTCGCGAAGCTAGCAACCTCGTTTTCTTTTTGTCTCCAGTATTTAAGGAAACACCACTTCCACCATAAAATAAACTACTTCTCTATGAATTTTTAAATAAATCGTCAATCACGATCAGATTAGATCAACGCCAGCCACGACGAAATGCCTCAAACGTGCATACTTTTCCAATATGAAACGCATAGTTTTTCGAAACCCCTTCGCCTTCGTTATCAGCACAGATTTTGGCTAAGAATAAAACATTTTATCCCAACTACTAGATGTTAGTACGCATACTTGACCAGATGCGCCTACAAAATATAATATAATTTACAAAAGCGAGAAGGTTAAAACGAAAACTATGCAATTACAAACAATTCCCGTCATTTTTGGTGTTTCGACCGAAGAAACGTCTACATGACGCTTTTTACACAACAATTTTACTTGTATTACTCATCCTCTTTTAAATTAATTTAAGATATTAGTTAAATCATCAAAGTTTTGCATTAGAATTATTTATTTATTAGTGGTTAACTGTGTTTAAAACCTTGTACTTTATGTATTAAATAAAAATAAAAAATAAAAAATAGATTGAAGTTTTGTTATATCGGTTTAAGGTAATTAGTTTCAAGATAAGAAAATACAGGTGCAGCTTATCGTTCAATGACGCATTAATTTGTTAAGAAAATGGAGACGGAAGAGTAAATCAAGGGAATTTTGTTTTAAATAGAGGAGACAGACGTTCATCGTCGCTTGTTTGGTGGGTTTCCTGGACGCTGAAACGTAACCCTTCATCGTTTTAGGTATTGGCAGTTCTACCGCTATTTGAGCGTTTTAATGGGAAGACAGTGTGTGTAATCGTAAAGTTCTTGTTGTAGAAGAAAGTTATGAGAGTCTATGAGTATTACGCGATTTAAGTCGTCGTGATAAACGTGAATGTTTTAAATCGAATTTAAAAAGTCAAGAGTACGAACAAGTACTTGTTTATCAGTACCCGTTAAAGGGAGTTTTCATGATCAAACTGCCAAGTTATCTGTAATCTGTAATTACAATGAACCCAGTGTTGTCTAAATAGAAGCTTGAGTACATTCAAAGAAGTAAAATTTTAAAGCAATATCTCTCGGTGTGTTGTGTTAATGCGTCTGTTTGAAGTGAATAGCAGTTACAACCAGAGATTTTGAATTATTAACGAGCTCCCAGCGAGTTTATCATTTTGCGGTGTATGTCCGTCTGTCCGATTACGATGAAATTTTGTAGGTGGATTCTCTATCAAATTTCTAGATCGGAGTTCGTGAATTGGCAATGTAGGCCAAAAAATAAAGAAGGCACTTTTGACATCTCCGATAGTTATGAACCGAATTGCATGAAATTCAATATGCGCATAGCTTTACCCATATCAATCGCAATTCCAAAAGTTGAGCCTAATCGATCAGCATTCACAGTGCCCTCTTGTCATCTCGCCCATACATAAACCGAATTGCAAACTTTCTTATTTATGAAGGTATTTAAATGAAATTTGATACATAGCCACTTGGAATAAAAGAAAATTTAACACCAGTTTCAAAATTTGGTTTAGCGCATGCGCACTGCCAACTTTCTTATTTATGGAGGCAATTAAATGATATTTCATACATAACACTTTAACTAAAAGCAAAACTACCACCAGGTTCAAAATTTGGTTTTGCACATGCTATAACCATACCCATACCCATACATGCTTTAATTAATTGTTTCTATTGATGACGTGTTGTGCATGGTACCGCATTCTTCCCTTTTTATATTATATTATTTGTTATTATTATATTAGTAGATGCCTTTCTGGACCTTCATTCGATAGAGTACCGCGAAGCGTAATATGGGAAAGTCTAACGCAAAGGAAGGTGAGT